CCTCGATAGTGGGGTAATAATTAGTGGGGTATCTAAAAAATTGAGTTTATTGTTTCCAGTCTCTATGGTAAACTGTAAGCGTGGATGGAAAGAGTTGAAAGTTTGTAAGGTAAAATCAATCCGAAGTTTTATACATAAGACAACAGCGTCTTAGTTTAAAATTACAATCAGACACCGACTGTTTACACCATGCATACTTGTGTGTCATAAATAATTTATAACTTTGTTTGTCCCTCTCCGGCCGTGTATTTTGTTTATAATTATCAATCCTTGTTTTTGACATACGAATCTTCGACCCGCCGTCTCATTTCGTTTTCAACCTCCATACGTGAAACTTTATTTTATACTTGTCTCTAATTTCCGAAATGTGTGACTTTTCGAATTCCTCCTACTGCGACTTTTCAATTTTTGTAATCTGACTGCTGCAGACCTTGAGGTGAGCTCTCTCCTTTCTCTTTCTGTTTTAACGACTGACTAAATATATTTTTCCTTTTTACAGTGGAAATGTCCACTATAACCGTGCGTACCAGCTCGCTTGTCACAACATTTCCTCAAGAAAGGAGCTTTCTGCCTCGAGCTCTGCAGGAATAGAATCTTCTTATATCAATAAATGCTGCAGATGGCTCGAAAGAAGAGCCGAAACGTTCATCACATTTAAATACACGTTTTTTTAGTTTTATTTGCGCACCACGTTTCGCGTTCGACTCGCATTCGCCGTTTTAAATCGTTGATGTTATTTTGACTAACAACAGTAATTTATTGTAATACAATGACTGAAATAAAACATATGTAGGGATGGGGTATGTTGGCTCATATCAAGACAGCAAAGAATTAAAGAGTTAACAATACAATATAAAAATATTTAATCAAAATAAAATAAAATTTTTCTTGTAAAAAAACTTGACGCTGCGAAACCTCGAAATTTAATAAAGTATTAAAATTCTTGATTGAATAAAAAACATTAAATAGAGAATATACATAATTTAGGAAAGAATGCGACGGGAGTAAAAAAGCAGCGTCAAGTTTTTTTACAAGAAAAATTTATTTTATTTTAATTAACAATTTTTATTTTGTATTGTTAACTGTTTAATTCTTTGTGATTAAAATGATTCTTTGTAATATTATAATTTTGTTAAGGAGAATTAAAGCTACTACCACTTGGGTTGGAATAGGAAGACCCTTGAATGGGAACGCAAAGGTATGTACCGCTTGAATTTAATTTTTTAAAAGTATTTGCACAACAATTATTTTTCAAAACAATATATATATATTCTCTTTGCAATTGGCGCAATTTAAAAACTTCACATCTTTTTTTTGAAATACATGTCATTCGGGTTAAGTTAGGTAACGCAATTTTGTGATATAATAATTTTGTTAAGGAGAAGTAAAGCTACTACCACTTAGATTGGATTTTTGGATTTACAACATTATGCATGTACTTGGTGCCTTTTTTACCTTTTTTAATAACATTTACGTTTTGATCTACTTGGTCTTCTTCAGAACGTTCTATTCGATAAAATTACGCTAATAAATTACGAAGAAACGTTACGACGTTTCGACCCTTCGGATTGGGTCCTTTTCAAGCATCTAGATAATAAAACAATCTATAAAGAAGAAAACACCAAAAAAAGAGAGATTGCTGAAATGTTTTTGATTAAAAAACACCCTAATACGATTAACTTAAAAAAGGACACGGAAAACTTGAATTCTATTTATGATAAAGTGATTTTATTGTTATAAATATTACGTGAATATCACATGTATATAGCAACAACCTATAGTGTACTTGGGTACGTCTGGAAAACAATTAGTACGTTTTTGACCTCCGACATGTAATCACGCGTTAGTCGTCGCTCCGCGATTATGTCATGCTCCGTTTCTTGGCGGTGGCCACACTCCTCTTATGAAACGCATTCTCTGATGTCACTGACTCATGCATGTATAGTATCGCCGCTTTTCTTCGAAGTGCATATATATACTCATTATTTTTCTGTTGTATTGATTATTAACTATTGTTCTTTCAACGATAATTTTATGACTATTTCGGGTAAAATCTTTGTAAATACAGATGTTTAAGTTCGTGACAAAGATCAATTTACCAGGTATCGATTTTATCATTTATTGACTATGTATCTTATCTCATCGACCAAACACCAACTTTTTTTATTATCTAAATGCTTGAAAAAGACCCTATCTGAAGGGTCGAAACGTCGTAACGTTTCTTTGTACATATTGCCAATTGTAGTCGAAAGTAATAAACTTTTTTTGTTTAATTATTATTGGCGAAACAAACAATCGATTTCTATTAATAAATTACGCAAAATAGATATAAAAGATTAAGAGAGACAATGACTGATGGTCAAATTAAAAAAAATCGCATTTCAATAAAAGAGTTAATAACAATTTTCGTCGTTGGACAAGCGCAAAATTGGAGGTCCAAAATTTAAGAAGGTCCAAAGTGATGTGAGAACCGACTTATTGATCGCTGTGAGAATACAAAAAAGAAAATTATTTGTATACCTGAGTCGAATCTGAATTTAAAGTAATAAACTTACATAAGTGGTTGTATCACGTGAAAGGAAAAAGAAAAAGAAAAGAAATCTCGATCAGCCAAAGGCGTCTCGTCTGTGTGAAGTATCGTGAGAGACTGAGAGAAAGTAATAGAAATGTTTTTGAATCTCATGCTTTTGTCCTGACTGTATTGGATAGTTCACTAAGAATATCGAAATACGATTCGTCCAATAGTTCCGCGTCTTTGTTAAGATTGATTTCATGGGTCTGTTCTTTGATGTGAATCATTTCCGCAATTAATCGTTTTTGGTAATGAAGCTCAGAATCTAAAATTCTGGTATTGTCCCAGTCAAATGTGTGGTTGAATTGCAAAATGTGCTCCGATATTACAGAATGCTTAGCCTGACCTAATTTAATGTTGTTTTGGTGTTCTTTTAATCTTGTGCGTAACTGTTTTGGTTTATCCCACATAAAATGCGTCACATCAGTCTTTGGAGTGAATCTTATAAACTACGTTGTTATTCATTAATCGCGGGTTTCTGTTCTTGTGGACTCGTATAAAGTTCAACTTATTAAAACAACGGTACTCTACTATCTATCTGTCAATTACAGGAGCCACTCGCGTGCCGTTGCAGCATTTATATAAGAAAGTACAAAATATTTTTTTATTTCCTCTTCAGAGTCATTGTTCATTCTGCTATTGTCGCTTAAAGATTATGATTTTTTGAGAAAAACTAACTTCCTTAATCTGAGATTGATTTGCGCAAAAATCAAATCAATAGGTTAACCGTTGTCGATTAATATGTTGACGATTAATTCAAGATTTTTTTTATAAAAGCACGGATGAGACAATAAAATTACTCTATCAACAAGACTGTATATGGTTCCCTTTTTGTGGTGTAAGGGGTGGTTAGAAAAGAATGATAAAATTCTTCTCGAAAAGGTTTTGTTTCTCTCAATATTTTACATCTATTTTGCGTAATTTATTAATGTAATTTTATCGATTAGAACGTTCTGAAGAAGACCAAGTAGGTCGAAACGTAAGTATATATTTAACATATGTTTATTAAATTTTAATCTTAAACTAACATCTAAAATTTCTTTGCTCAAATTTTAGCCGTTTAATCTTCCTTAGATAGGTTTTTTATTTCTACAGCACTGTATAGACAAATTGTTAATATTTTAACATAACTTTATAATGTCCAAACAAAAAAATTACTTAAAAGAATTAAATCAAATACAATGTAATACAAGTTACAAGTTGAGTAATAAATTAGAAAAAACAAGCATTAGTATTTTTCTTTCGAGATATCTTGTTTACTTCTCACATATGATTATTAAATATTTGTTTCATTTATTATGTTCAATTTTTTGCTTTTTATTTAAGTGAATGTAATTTGATTTTTAAAATAAATGTTTAAAAATTTTTGTGAAATAATACACTGCTAAAAAAAATTAGGGAATTACTTTTTGTTATTAAATTTTTGCCTATTTTTAAACTGTAATTTAAACTGTACTTAGTGAATAATAATTAATGTAAAAAAAGTTAAAAAAAAGGTTTTACAGGGCAAACTCTTTACTATAAGGTGCTTTTATTCAATTGTCACTCAGGAATATTCAAAGGCGTGGTCGGCAGCTTTGTGATGGACGTATTTAAAATATACAAAATCTTAAAATTTGCAGTCTTCCACCGCCTAACACAAAATTGGCGAACATAATCATTGATACCATCTCAAAGTATAAACTTTGCCCTTTCAAATGAAAAAAAAAACTTTATTTTACGCCAGTTATTTAGCGAGATATCGCAATTTAAAGTAACCCCTGTTTTTTTTATGATTGTAGCACGATACCGCCGGCATTTGCGTAACCTGACACTCCATGTACACATACATACATGATGTGCAAAATCCGACTGAACAACCTGCCCGTGGTGCACATCAAGTTACGCAAATGCCGGCGGTATCGTGCTGAAATCGTAAAAAAAAAAACAGAGGTTACTTTAAATTGCGATATCTCGCAAATTAATTGAAGTAGGACAAAGTTTTTTTTTAATTTAAAAGGACAAAGTCAGTACTTTGAGATAGTATCAATAATTATGTTCGTTAATTTTTTTGTTAGGCGGTGGAAGACTGCAAATTTCAAGATTTTGGATATCTCATAACTATCAAATATGTTCTTATTCAAAATTGACCACGCTTTTGAGTATTAACCTGAGTAAAAATTGAACAAAATACCTTATAGTAGAGAGTTTGCCCTGTAAAACCTTTCTTTAAACTTTTTTTACGTTAATTATTTGCTGAGTAATTATAGTTTAAAAATGGGCAAAAATTTACTGACAAAACGTGATCCCCTAATTTTTTTTAGCAGTGTATTTAAGAGTTACACTGATGAGGTGATGAACGGGAATCTTTTATAGTCCGTTAACAATATGTTAATATCTTTCTATTTGATACTTCGCTCTATGCTTTCCTTATCTTGCATTTCCTCAGGCGAACCTATATTTGAGGTAATAAAGAACATCCAGCCGGACACAGAACTGGTGGCTTGGTTTTTGCCAGCAACGCAGCAGGACTTTGTTATCATTTCTCACGATGTATGCTCCAGATCAGCGATTTACAGGTGCACAATCGATTCTATTTTAGACGGTGAGTGAAAGACGTAGGTAAGCTTATTTACAGATATCGCCAATAAACATCATTGCAAAAATATGTTTTTAATGTAGATACTTGAATCACATTTAGGAGCTTCCGATAACTTTGGCAACATAATATGAGATTGATTCTTTAAAAAGCACTTTTTAAATATTAAATGTTATACAAAAATAAAGTATCGTCGCGGCTAATTACTCTAGAGTTATGGACAACAAGAAGAAAATATAGTAGGAGGTGTACATCTAGAAATAAAAATTAACTTAATTAGTTTAATATTATTAATAAAAGTATTATCTAACCTGATCTACCCTAACCTAACCACACTTAATAAAAGTTAATTAAGTTGGATCATATTAGATATATCTACAACAAAGACTTTATTATTATATTAGAGGCTAGTGAAGGATATTTTGGACATTTAAAACCAAATTTTTCTATGAATTGTGAATTTTCTGATTTTACTTATGACCGCCAAATGCGATTTCTCGCAAAATACTCGCCTAAATTAAAAAACAAGGTACAGTTGTAAAAATAATTAAGAGATATATCTTTATAAAACAATGAGTCACTTGCCTCTTATTTAAGATTTTTGAAAAGGCTATCCTAAGCAAAAAAATAAAGCTGCACGGTTGAATCTATCATAATTATACATTCCTCTTAAAAAAAAAATACAAAATTAACCATGTATACGATTTGTATATAAAAAACATATACTGTAACACATTATCGTGTACGCGCGCACGTATGCACATATACAGGGTGTTTCTAAAACTATGTCAGAGATTTTAAGGGCGTATTCTAGAGGTCAAAATAAGAAAAAGAGTTTCTATAAACATGGGTTCAAAAATACTATTAATTATTACGCTATAAAAAATTTCAACAATCTTTTTTCCTCGACTTTAGGGGGGAATGACCCGGTTTCATTATCTCTGATTAACTGTAACCTTCGATTAAACTCACTCTTCTAAGGGGAACAGAAAGAGATGAAGAGTGAGTTTAATCGAAAGTTATACAATTAATCGACATTGGTGAAACTGGCCCTATAATTCGGAGAGAAAGCATTTTTAGACCCATGTTTACAGGAACTTTTTTTCTTGTTTTGATCCCTAGAATACGCCCTTAAAATCTCTGACATAATATTAAAAACACCCTGTATGTACGTGACAATAATAATTTGTAATAGTAATAATTTCTATACAAGAATCTCATATCTTCTATCATATGTTTAATAGTGCTTATAATTTGACAATTGAAAACTATTGCACACCTCAAGCAAAACAAGAAGTCATAATGACGTCAAAATGATTCCAAATTGATTATTAAAAGAATCACTTTAATGTCATTTCAATCATCGCTACTTGTTCTGGTCAGGACTTTGAGACTTTAAAAAACAAGCTATTTTTGCCTACTGCGAAACTTTAAGCAATCATTGGAAACTGTGTTGTTGAGATTTTCTAGAAACAGAAAATAACATTTATTTGTCCACCAAGTCTGGGGAAAGTTATAAAAACCGAGATTTATTATCAATTGTTGAAATAGTCGTTAAAATGATTTTTTTTTAATTTTGATATGTCATTAAAATAAAATCAACTGCACATTTTTGTGTTGAAAGATGAGTGGTAAATGTAAAGAATTTGATTTCCATAATATATATGTGTGTGTGTGTGTATTGTAGAGATATATAGATAATATGAAAAATGTGCATTTTTCCTCTCTTAGCTGAATCCAGATCCACGAACAAGGACGTGAGGAAATTTGGTCCCATGTGTGTGTGTGTGTGTGTGTGTGTGTGTGTGTGTGTGTTTGTTGCTTGCATGCAGACGCGCACACTTTTTTTCTTTCTCCATTTTTAGCTCTCCGTTTCTGTCTCTCTTCTTCTCTACCTATTTATTCCCATTTTCCCCTTTTTCTCTCTGTCTCATTCTTCTTTGCTTTACTCACATTCGTCGCTATCATCAGAACTTTAGTAAATTTTGTTTGTAAAAAATGTATTCAAGTATTTTACAAGAACTTTAACAGATAGTTGATTCTAAGCAAATCCAAAATATCAAATAATTATCGTAATGTGAAAGCAGCAATCACCACACGCAGGTCTACTTTGCAAGTGCACGTATGATCAGTTATGCTAAATAAATCAGTTTAGATTTATCAATAAAAATATAAAAGTATATGTTTCTCATAAGATGACATGAATCCTAACTAGGAGAAGAATGCTATCACATTGTTGGATTCTTCCGGATCTCTCTGCATGTATGTACCTACAGCACATAAACATTGTATAAATGAGAAAATAATCTTCTCTACATTTACTTACTCACCTTCCAACACATGTTCAACAAATGTGCAATTAATTTTATCTTAAAGACATGCCATAAGGTATAAAGCTTAAAACACTTTACATGATCATTTCAACAATCGATAATATAATAAATCCTGATTTTCATAACTTTTTTCGAACCTAGCAAACAAATAATTGTTATTTTCAGTTTCTAGAAAATCTCGAAAATAGTTTTCAATGATTAGTTAAGGTTTCGTCAGTGAACTAAAAATAGCTTATTTTTAACATTTTCCTTTATCGTTTTACTTATATCTAATTTGGTTCTGCGTTCTCTCATTTTAAAATTCACAAAGAATTTCGTTCCGATGTTGTAACTAAGAATCGTCTAGCTATCCCGCAGCCATTGTACTGTCTTTTATCTTCGAATACACACTGCGCGCGCAGGAATGGTGACAACCCGCATTTGAATCGGAAATCGCGAATCTTTTGTGATCCGCCCGACAAAAAGGCCGGCTGCACATTTGCATTTCAGATCGTTTTCGTCGAGTCTGTTGTTTTTTCTCCGATTGCACTGCGAATACCGCTAAATGGCTGCAACGGCGACCGATCGGCAAAGAGATAAAAGATCAACATGAAATTGCCGCAAACTATAATATTTTTTTTTGTTTTTATTTGGTCGACTCAAGTAAATAAAAAAAATTTATTGATCAAATATGTACGTTCAAATTTTTATAAATACTTTATTAAAAATTTTATGCTTCTTTGAATCAGTGTTTATATAAAACACTGGTTCAAAGACAATTGAGTTAATATATTATTTTTTGATAATTATAAATATTAGATTATCAATCGTTGAAATCAAATATAATAAAAATATGATTAAAAATGTAGGGTAAATATTTACCCTTACGAATTCCCCCTCAATGACCTTCTTCATATATATTGTAGAGAATACTCTCCTGAATAATATTCAAAAGGTTTTAGCTGTCGCTCGTTCTTTATTAAAAAACTAGCTGGTTACCCGGGCTTCGCCCCGGAGGACATATGTAATCAGACACGCAAATAGTCTCTTTCTCTCTCTCCCTCCCTCTCTCCTTCCTCTCTCTCTCTCTGTCTCTCTCTCCCCCTCTCTCTCTTCCTCTGTCTCTCTCTCTCTCTCTCTCTCTCTCTCTCTCTCTCTCTCTCTCTCTTTCTCTCTCTCTCTCTCTTTCTCCCCCTTTTTTCCTCCCTCTCCCCCTTCTCTCTCTCCCTCTTTCCCTCCTTCCTCTCTCTCTCTCTCTCTTTCTCTCTCTCTCTCTAAATACAATTCTTTAAAATTTGATTAATTATTTCCCGAAAATTCGTCAAACTTCTGATACCGCTTTCCAAAAAGATCGATAACAAAAAATTATATACTTGATAACACTCCCCAGGAAATTCAACTCCTACTTTATGTACAATTCTTTGAGATTCGGTCATTCGGAACCGGTTTTTAAAAAAATCGGTAATAAAAAATAGTACACTTTATAGCACTTCCCGGGAAATTCTACCCCTACTTCATGTATAATTCTTTGACATTTAATCAATTATTTCCCGAAAAATTGAAAGAATTAAAAAAACCGGTTTCCAAAAAGATCGGTAACAAAAACTGTACACATTATGGCGCTCGCCGTAAAATTCTACCCCTAATTTATATACAATTCTTTCAGATTCGGTCAATTAATTCCCGAAAGATTGAAAAAATTTCGATACCGGCTTCCAAAAGATCGGTAACGAAAAATTATACACTTCATAACACTTCCCGGAAAATTCTACCCCTGTTTGATCTACAATTCTTTGAAATTCGGTGAATTATTTCCCGAAAAATTAGAAAAATTAGAAAAACCGGTTTCCAGAAAATCGGTAACAAAAAACTATACACATAGTGGCACTCCCCGGAAAATTCTACCCCTATTTCATATACTTTTGGTAAAAATTATTTGAAAAAATTTCGATACCGGCTTCCAAAAGATCGGTAACAAAAAATTATACACTTCATAGTACTCCTCGGAAAATTCTACCCCTGTTTGATCTATAATTTGTTGAGATTTGATCAATTATTTTTCGAAAAATAGGAAAAATTAAAAAAATCGGTTTCCAGAAAATCGGTAACAAAATCTATACACATAGTGGCACTCCCCGAAAATTTCTACCCCTATTTCATATACTTTTGGTAAAAATTCGGTTCAGGGGTTTGGGCTGGGCGTTAATGAGTCAGTCAGTCAGTCAGAACAATAGTGAAAAAAACACATTTTACCCCTTTTCACCCCCTTAGGGGTGGAATTTCTAAAAATCCTTTCTTAGTGGATGCTTACGTCATGAGAGGAATACACCCTCCAAATTTCAAGTCTCTAGGTTCAGGGGTTTGGCCTGGGCGTTGATGAGTCAGTCAGTCAGTCAGTCAGTCAGTCAGTCAGTCAGTCAGTCAGTCAG